CGCAAACCCTCGAACACGTACCTACATAAATGTATACAATAAACGGCAATTGTATGTGTACCACCTATGCCCGAAAATAAAAGTAAGGACCTCTTTGAGCAAAAACCCTTTAGCCGTAATGTATAGGCTACTTGGCTCGTTCATCGAGAAGGTGTGAAAGGAGACCTAAACTCCTTCTTCTTCTAGTTGAGACGACTAAACACCTATATATATACTTTATCTTTTGCTTATTGTGATTTTTCAAAGCTGCACAGAACGTACACGCGCTCGCGCTTCGATGCGCTTTACCGAGCGTAAAATAGGTATATACGACGATGGCGGCGGGGAGGAGGAGGCGAGACAAAAAAACACACCCTGTGTGTGTGCCCTTTTTTTTTTATTCTTTTCCGGTGCGTCACTCCTTTTGTATAGGTATACGCTGTACGTATCGTTCGAGCAATGCATAATAGTGGTGATGTACGAAAAAAAAGGAGAGAGAGAGAGAGCTCGAAAAGGTGTGTTGCAGCAGATCACGTTTTGTATGGGTTCTCAAATCCATGTATGGGCTTGTATGGGCCGGGTGTGTGATTGATCGACTCCGTGTGCATTTGGGTGCACGTGAGGCTTTTCGTTGTCTTTTATTCGCGTGTTGAATTTTTTTGTTTCATCGTCGCAGACACTCGCGATCGAGAGAAATCGCGGCGAGATCGGTAAGCGAAAGGCGTGTTCCTTGTAGTTTATCGGGGCAATCGACAAATTTTCAAGATTTAGTGGTTTCATAATGTGTTTTCATCCATGTATATGCCCCGTATGAGAAGTTTTTGGCAACAATTATTTGTCATTTCGCATAAAGCTATCGTTTACATTTTGTACCTCCTGACTCGCTACATTCTTCAACATTCTGAGTTTTCAAAAGCAAGATTATCTAGGATTTTTAGACACGGGGGGGGGGGTATATTCCTCTTTCTTTATTATCGTGATACAGTATACTTGTCATAGAAAAAAGAAAAATTCGTCGGCGTGAAATATTATTAAAACTTTTACCCTCGACTGTTCTATCCATCTTATACGGATACATAAATATAAATATTGTACTTACCTATATATATACAATTGGACCGTAAGTATAAATTATACTTACGCAGTGCTGTGTCTAAGTACGGTTCGATGATATACAAGCGTGAAATAAGCGGTCGGATGCGTCGCCCGGTATAGGTACATATGCACGATGGGGGCGGGACTCGAATATTATCCTACGTACCAAATATATGTTGTATTATGGTTTGCAAAATGGCGTGCGCTCCAATACACATCCGCGCAGCCCTTGTTATACACTTTAAGCTTTTGACTGATGTGTTATATTTTTTTTTTCTCTTCCTCCTTTCGGTTGGGGTTGCGCTTACTGTTTGACGTTGGGATATATCGCGTCGACGTGTCGTTTGACTTTCGGATTATCGCAATGGAAATATATACAGTGCACGGTTTATGGGAGTTTTATTTAGTGACCGCGGCGTGTGAGCAGAGGAAAAAAAAAAAAAAAAAAAAAAGAACCNTTTGGAAAAAAAACTTTCTCGACTGGCTGTGTCTGACCACATCTTTCATTGCAACCTTTGCCATTCGTGTCTATCATCACATAATTCGATAATATAAGCACGTAGATTATAAACCATAAATTGAAAAAAAAAAAAAAAAAAAAAAAAAAAGGATTTGAGACAACAACAGGCGAACTGTCGTGCATTGCACGGAGGATCAATTTGTTGACTCGGTACCTATACCTACGGGCAGAATTTACCGGTGCTGCGCGATTTTTACCAACAAAATACACACATTTAGCGTTGAGTCACGAAATAATTGGCGGGGATAAAAAATTGCTTTTGTAATTTTCAGGGAAAATACAACGTTTTTTTATACGATCGGAGGTTGTGGGATCCCCTAATTTTTTCTTAGCACGTGTCAAAAATTACTTAAATAATAAAAAAAAACTCAAGAAATATCTTCTACACTTTTGACTGTCTCCACAACTAGTACAACTACAGATTTTTTTTTCTTAGACATATCCATATAAGAACACGCGTACAGTACCAGGTGCGCTTGGCGACCCATAATATGCAACATGACGAATCAACGGTTAATTTTCAGCGCGAAAACCCCCTCGAAGTTTCCCATTCGATCATGTGGGGTACAATTGTGCGATAAAAGAAGCCGATCATCCAGTAATTAGATATCGTTCTCTCGACGCCTAAGCGTCTACATGCACATCGACTGAGCACATATGTAACGCAGTTTTTGTTATATACAGGAAAAACGAACGAAGAAGGAGGAGATGCATGCAGATGTCTATCGGGTGTTACAAGAACGATTTTAACGAGACGACGGAACGAGAGAAAGACAGAGTAAATTGACGGGGAGCGTGACGCGGCGCGCGTTGGGTAATAATGCCCGATGACGGATCATTGGACTCTGCCCTTTGAGGCCTCGGGTGCGGAACGAACGCATACATACATGTGTATATATGAATGATGGATCGGGCGTTTTTGCTGTTTAACGCTGCCATGCATATAATCTATTAGTGATCGAGCAATCGAGAGTAATTGCGCATCTCTACTTGTGTCGGAGGTGTAGGTATATACACGAAACGAAGAATTTTTGTTTACTGTGATTTTCAAAGAGCCTACGTGCATCAGTAGTAAGTACCGGTACTTGTGTATGCTTTTCCCTGATTTTTATTTCTCGTGTACAATTGTAAGTTGGAATTATCGTGCGGAGAGAAAAACAAAAATCAACATCAATGCACGAGAATTTCATACGACAATTACTCTTTCAAGCGCACACCCTCAAACCATCATCATCATCGTTCCCTTCCAATAAACAACAATTTCCATTCGTCAAAATTGAGAAGAAAAAAAAAGGGTGTGAATCCCACTCGGAAAAACTCAAGCCCACGAGCGCTTCGACACCGGAAACAGTCGAGCATGTACCCAATAACCCAGACCCTCTCCCGTCTCAATTCACGCAACGATCGGCCTCACGCGGAGCGACCGGATCATCAATCACCGACGCGATCATCGCGCCTCGAGCACCTCGACAATCTGCAAAAGGTCCTCTCTTTCGCGTGCGCCCCTTACACCGAATCGTATTCCCATACATTGCGTATACACGGGCGTTGACACAAATTGGCCCCAATAGACCTACATATACCTACGGGGTAAGAAGAAGAAAAAGAAGAAGAAGACGAGTCATTTTCCATACATGGCCGTGTGCGCGTGCATCGCACGAATGTTACCATCTCGGGGGGTTTCTCTCTTTGACGTTCCGTCGCGGGGCACAATTAGCGCAGAGGATCCGTAAAAATCCGTATACTTCGATAGGCGCGTGATTAATGATGCAAAGAGCGAGGGCTAAGCATAAAAAGTACATCGGGCGAGCGTGAATCGTGAAATTACATTCGCATGCTGGGACACGGTAGGAGAATAACCACCATGGTGGACGAAAATCGCGGCCGTTGCTTTGGTTTTACCGGTCCATGGGGGAAAAAAAAGCCGCTGACTCGAAGAATCTTTTTTTTAGTTGCACGACTACTGGTTATATATGGTCTTAATTTTGATAGCATATGCTTGGACGCTCGCAGACCTAAATCAATTAAAATCTTGGGCGTACATGCAAAGTCAAGTTTTTCCATCGCGCGCGCGCACGTGAACAACTTTACAGGGAGACAAATTAAATGTACATCATCAGCAACGCTGAAAAATCCGCTGTTGCCTCTCCCCTCGCTTCGTCGTATAGCCAGAAAGAGAGACAAAAAAAAACGGCACGTCCAACGGGAATTAACTACTATACGCGCGGTACACAAAAGAGGCGCCCGGCTCTTACAGACTCGAAATTCGCTCTCGTCGAGCCAAAGGGCTGCAAAAAAGCCGAGCGTATTTGCGCTCCTAGGTACACACACTTGCGTACGAATTTTTGACTGACGTTTGGCTCGTATATGTGTATACCAACGCGTTCTGTCGGCGGAGCAAACAAGCGCCGCGCGTGTACGTATATGCAAAGATAATATTGTGGGATGCGAAATGAATGCGCGCGGAGAGAGAAAAGTCAGAGAGAGCACGGGAGTTCGTTTACACAGGGCGAGTATCGGCTCGGGCCGGTGAATTGAATCACGCTTCGATCAATTAGAGACGAGTGTGTGTGTGTGTGGTATGTAAATGCGAGCTGTGTTTGGCTTTTTTCTCATGTGCAGGGGTCAATGGGTTGCAGGTGTGCGCGTATTTGCTTTATCAAGAGAGACAGAGAGAGTCGGGGTGGAGGGTGTACCGGTGGTTGTGAATCTAAGGTTTCGGTGTTTTACATGATAGAATTTGTGATCTGTAAATATTTTATTCTTTTTTGTCCTCACTTGGACACTCTGCTGCCCTTTTGGGTACATTACAATGACAGCTTAGGTTTCGAATCAAAATTTGTTTTAGCTGTGAGATCTGCTACTCTACCGACTTAACTACTATACTCTTTGATTGGTTCACGTCTCGAACTTTGGTAAATCTCAGATAAAAAAAAAAAATAAAGTGTTTACAAAAATTAAAACCCGTGCTTTCGGGATGATAGTATGCTTTAGTTGTGGAATACTTCAGATGAATTTGTTTGCTTGATGATGTGCCTCTCCAACAGTTCGTTGCACTTGTTTTTCGGATCCAAACTCGGAAAAGGGATACATCGTACGAATCCGTTTTGATAGGCTATCGCGAGCCATTGGAAATTTCGAGCGTTGGGGTTCCAGGCAACCTAAACATTACATCGATTTTGTTAGCGAAACTTGTTAAACAAGCAAATTTTCACGTATTTATTCTCAACTCACTCGATTGACCGCTGCGAATGGGTACTGTTCCGCAGGAACTTGGTCCATCATTGCGCAGGTGAACGTTTTCTTTGAACTCTTGTCAAGTTCTGTTGTCCACACATCTTGAGACTAAAACCATAAATGTACGTTGCAATGCACTTTTGAAATAGTGTTCGTTTCATAGAAAAAATTAAATATTGGTACTTACACCCACTTTGTCACGAAACGTCAATCCAAAGCGTTTTTCTGATTCAACGTACGTAGATGGCATGTAAGTGTATATTTTATTTTTAGTTTTTGAATTTGTTGTTTCATCTCCGTTCACCTGTTGTTGGCCACTAGACTGCTCGTTTTCTTGAAAATCGACAACGTCTATTGACGAAAAAATCTGAATGATCGACAAAAATCATCTTTTTATTATTTATTACGAACACGAGCCCCTGTTTACAGGGGAGAAAGCAATATGATTTTTTTCGTACACTCGTATGACGTTTTTGGTGCAAGATTTTTCTCATATTTTCGAGGTTTATCAATTGATGGGGAAACATTGCCACGACTTCACCGGCAAGAGTGCCACTTGCAACACTGTTTCCAAAGTTATTAGCCGAGATTGACTGCATGAATTAAATTTTTATTTAAAATATTTCTAATATGATCATGGATTTGAAGACTAACATTATACATACGTAACTTGTACTATTCATTGGAAGCACGTCGTAATATTTATAGGTGTAATCTCTGATAGGCAGACAATACACAAAATTACGGTTTAGTCTGCAAATAAATATTATGAACATTGAAATGAAAGTATTAGCCCAAAAACACCACTATTGTAATAGTGCTATCAAGTTTTTATAAATTATTACTTAAGTGCATCATCCCCAGTAATGAAAGCACAAAACCAGTTATCCAGCCATGATCCATCAGTTATAAAACTTTTTTTAATATAATTTTTGGGATTGGATACGTCTTCCAAGTCCCAAAATTTGTAGTATCTATCCATACCCGCAGTTGCTAAAAATCGCTTGTCTCCCACAGGAATGAGGTACACCACTGTAGAACAAGTTATTTTTTTATTTTTTTAATCAAGATTTTTTCATGCAATCAATTTTTTAATACTCACTTGTTACCACCTGCTGGTGAGCAAAAAAGTGCCTAAAAGGCATGAGAAAAGTTATATCATCCTTTTCAAATTTGGATAACGGTGATTTTAATGATAGATCCCACAGACCCACATACCCATTAGAAAAACCACCAGCTATAATGCTTAGATATATCAAACATATTATAACATTTTACACTTTGAATACTGCATTGATCATTGAAATAAAGTTCTTACTTGTGTCCTTTTTCTTTAGTCCAAGATATCTTTGTAACATGCCAAGTTTGCTTATTATCGATGTACATTTGTCTATGCACAATTAATACCAACACAGGCTTTGTATCGTAAAGTGGATACCTACTAAAAATTTGCACATTTTAACCAATTTTTTCCTATTAATTTCAATACACTACTTACTTGTAATATTTCAATGAATTTAAAAATAGTGATTCTCACATCTGTACTCACTTATTTTCAGTATTTTGAACATCATTCGGATCCTTTGTATTGGATTTTACCAGATGTTTAGGAAATACAAGTGAATATATTCTGACACAGCCATCAGAACAAGCTCCAGCTAATAAACCCATTCTTTTTGGCCCATCAGCTACAGAACGTTCAGAGAGTAAACTCGCAAGTTCATAACATCCCGATGGACACCATTCTAGGCACCAAATTGTTCCGCCTTCGTGTACAATGGCATATGCCAATTCTGGATTCCTCAAGTTTTTACTTCTGTAATTTTGAAAGTCATAGTCAAAATCATGGGGACATTGCTGGACTACTCTATCCCTACATGGATACATTATTAATGAAAAATAGAACATTACCTTAGATTTTTCACGTCCCAAATTTGTATGATGTTTTTTCCAGAGTAAGTCTGTTTAATCAAGTATTCTTTGTCCATAGATAAGTGAGTACTAATGGCTAAAAACTCAGATACATCTTCTTGGAGCCCCAACAGAGTGGGAATTGGTAACCATGATATTGCCCAAACAGGACCTCCAGTGAAAAACGTTGGGATACCTATAGAATGTTCATATACCATGGACTATTATATAAACTTTTTGTCCAGTCTTTCTTGGATAGTGTTACCTTGAATGCACTGCCCTTCAAATCTTGTCCATGTCCTCCATTCAGTTTCCACTACAGTTTGATTATCAACTTTTGAACTTTTGGTAAGCATTGAATGTTCAAGTTTTGGTATATATTCATATGCTTCTGTTGCATCCAATGATCTAAAAAGATTAGGAGAATATTCTTCAAATAAATCAAGTGCGTAATTTTCTTGTTCACTGTACAAAGAAAATTAAGTTATTAGTAATTATTTACACGTATTTCACGCATAAATTAATCATTTGCCAGTGAAAATGAACATAATTTGTGATGAAATACGTACAAATCCAATGTAGATTGAAATGAATTGAGAACTATGTGATTTTCCTCATTTTGACTAACATTAGGTGATGACTGTAATTCAAACATTTTCTTTGCTGCAATTTATTATATTATATAAGAAATTTAAGAGAACAAATTATTTATTAAATTAATGCTTAAGTAATAGGACTTTCAAAAATATTAACTCACAAAATTGAGTGTCATCTTGCGAGGTAAATGTGCCGCATGATTTATTTTTCCTGTACTTAGTTTTATATTCAGATTTTACTTTGGTCGCAGTAGATTTAATGGATTTTGACTCTATTGGCATTGTTGGTTTTTTAGGTTTTCTGTTAATGTCTTTATGATTTTCAAAAGCGTGTTTCCAAATATCCATATCAGATGCTGGTTTACCTTCGCAGACATTGCATGTGGAACTCTACAGTATGATATGATTAATTTTATCACAGTTATAATGGAAAGTAGACTTGACAAGGAAGTACGTTATCATTTTTATGGGATGTAAATACCGTTTCGGCTATTGAAGTACGCAAGCATTTCTTGTCGCGTTTACTTTGAATTTCATCTAAATCTTGTTTATGTTTTTTCGAAATTCCACTATGAGCCTTTTGAGTTGGTTTTGTTAGTTTGGTTAATTTGGTATTGTTTGGTAATTTTTTCTGCATAAAAATACTCATTTAAAAAAATTTTTTTGGTAAATTTAAAGTTAATCAATTTTACTTTGTTACAGACAAACCTGTTCAATAGCTTTAGAACTCGTTTTAGATCTTTTTTTTGGTGGTTCATCGTCAGTACTCTCAAGAATCGATGTTGTTGCTCTGAAAATATAAGAAAAAAGACATCTTACTTTAAATTATATGACTTAAAGAAATTTTGATCGCTAATGTTTTCGTATTGTAATTCTCATAATTTATCGTTGTGAAGATTTTCCTAAGACTAGAGGTAAAAAAAATACAAGTCTTTCGAGTCATACATCTCAGTAGCTTTCCTTTTCAGTCCAGATCTCGTCTTGTACTTCTCAAGCAATGGACTCTTCTTTTTCTGAACTCTTTTACATTGTGGTGGTAGTGATGGTGGTGGAGGTAATGGTAGTGATGACGGTGGTGGTTGTTGCACTTTTTTGATAGCTACAGTTTTTAATATCTTGGTTTCCTAAGATATAATCAAAAACATATAGAATTTCATTATAAGATTGAGCTATAATTAGTGTCACAAATGAAGCCCATACGGTCTTGTTTCCACAATTTTTAACATGAGATAAGTATTTTTGGACACTTAATATCAGTGATTCACACAATTCACAGGATAAATTTCCTTTCCTTTGTTTAATCGCACTACGAAGGGTTTCTTTGAGAAGTTCTTGGTTGCTAAAGTCCTGTAAAATCACGCATTAGAAAACAAATTTGGGACAGCACGTTCAGTTAAGAGCAAAAATTACCGGTTTCTTGGACTTGTAAATCCAAGCCAAGTTGTTGTGCTTCATTAAATTGTGATGCGGCCATTCGAGCCTCGTTATTCTGGCTTTGCATACTCCACATTGTGCTTTTCTTTGTTTTACCTGTTTATATTGTATATATTATAAAAAATGTTGGATATACAAAAAAATTTCATGCAAAAGTACCCAACGTAACGGAAGTATAAAATGTTGCTTACTTTGCGAATCTGGATACTTGGCGTTGTGCAATGAGGCTGATAGTCGACTTTGGGAGTGTTTACTTTTGGAGTTTTATATTCGGAAACTTTTTTAGCCTTGGATTTACGGGGGGCCATGATGAATTTGCGTAAAGTAACTTACAAATCGAATGCGAATCGAGGCTCACTCATTACAGGGATCACTAATGTAAACAGTATTAAAATAAACAGAAAATAAAGTCATATTATGGGAAAAGTCACACACCATCTAAAATCCCATCTACCTTATGCTTGACTCAGAGAAAAATAATTGTACTTATTACCGATATATACGTATATATTATTTCGTTACAACAATTAAAAAGCTCGTGCTCATGCATGCACGATTTTTGGTATTGAGTGTAAGTATAATTACTTTTAAGTGCCTACCATAAATTTTAGTGATATAATTACTTGCGCACAATCTTTCGTAGTGTAGAGAAGCCAGTGATTGTTATGATTTATTCATCAGTCAGTTAGTAAGATTTTAGTTGTCAGCACATGTGCGAACTTGCTTGGGGTCTTGCAGCTTTGTGTGATAGATTTGCGGGTTTTACCACTTTTTTCAGTTGTCCTATTTGTTCCGCTCGCTTCTACTGCTTTCAGATACACATCCAAGATACGCAGTGTTACACACATTATCGTGTGCGAATATGTTACAATAAATAAAAAATACAATTTTTACGGAAAATGAACAAAAATCCTTGGTGTACTTATATCCTTGTTGTTTGCTGAACATATCGATAAATCATAAACAAGGAACTGAAGGAGTGCGAATGTGCGATGAGAGTGGAACGATTGAAATTGAACCGACCTGAGAAAGGACATAAATTCAAATTGGCAACTCTTTCGTCATCGCAACTGTAGGTATATGTATGTAGGTACTTCAACCGCAACGTAAAACACAACGTAAACCATAAAGATGAGTCCACTCTTCCGCTGTACTCTCTACTATACCTATAGAGTACGTTAATTGCAGTCGAGTGGATCCAGTAGGTCAGGTCCCAGAAATAAGGAACAAGGAATTATGTGGATACATACATATATATTTTTTTTCTTCAATTTACAATCAGCGCCATCTAGTGGGTTATTATTCTTGAGACTTGGGACTTGGGACTTGAGACTTGAGACTTGAGACACGTCAGTACGTCACTCGTCACGTGTCTGAGTGCCTCCCCACTCGAGACGGATCGTCCATCGCGGACAGGTCTAAACAAGTGTTTCTTTGCTTACACGTGCACAAAGTTGATGTTTATTTCTTATTTCTAAGACAGATTTGATAAAAAAGAGTACTGTATTCATTGAGGGATCGAAGCACAGATCACTTAAGTTATTAGTGTTTTGTGTAAGTGGAAAATTTGTTAAAACTGCACACCCATTTATTGTGTTTTTTAGAATGTCTTCGTCAAGCGGTGAAATGGACACTAACTACATAAAGCTAGCTCAGTTGATCGAAAAATTATCTTACGACGACCACTACAACGAGATCAAGATGATATTGGATAGTGGCTACAACGTGAATTATGCAGTAACATGTGATAGTCAAGTCATTAGGTATCGTCGTGAGTGGCTGGGACACACGGCATTACACTTTTGCGCTCAAAACATCTTAAACAAAAATACAGAAGTCCTCGAAAGAGTCTGTCACTTACTGTTGAGTCGTGGTGCTGATTTCACCATCAAAAATCACCATGGCTCCACTGCGCTACACTTAGCTTATGATAATTGGAAAATAAGTACAGGACATGGAATTGACTATTCATTGAATAAAAATCATCAAATCAATCAATTGTTGTCTGCTCATGAAAGATTTGGCAATCCAGTTAATCCTCACTGTAAAAATGGGATCTCTCACCTTCATTTAGCATGTATGTTTAACAATTGGGAAGTTGTCAAGTTTTTCTTGGATTTTGGGGTTCCTGTGGACCAAGCTATCGGTACCAACTCGAACAAGTTTTCTGGATACACGTGTTTGCACTTTGCAATGCAAAGTGGAGACCAAAACATGGCTCTACTGCTTTTAGACCATGGTGCCGATGTAACGTGCTTGAATGCCGCGAAAAAGAGTCCCCTGCATCTAATCATTGAGAAACAAATCAAAGATACCTCGTTTCCGGAATCAAATGAGCTCAACGAAGAAATTTTCGATAATGAAGAAATATTGGATCTACTGAGAACGCCTGAAGCAGATGATCTGAATCCAAGAGATTGTTATGGTTTGTCATCATTTCATGTGTACTGCACAAGAAACATGAGTTTTCAGTTCGAAGAGTGGGATAGATTCCTTGATAGTGGAGTCGATGTCAATGCATCTCTGAATTTCGATTCGCCATTTTTTCCAGGATACACACCACTACATTTCGCAGCTCGCTGTAATTTCAAAACATTTGTGCTGCTTTTGGAAAGTGGTGCAAATCTCCTGGCAAAGGATGCAAATAATGTGACTCCGCTTGACTTGTGTCTCAAAATGTACAGGCCAGTAGACATAAGTAATATCTTGAAAACTCAAAATTCCCTTAATTCCATTAAACTTAATAGCGGTGCTCTGTTGGTTGACGTTATTTGTGAGTTTCAAACGTCTGAAAAATTACACAGTTATTTAAAAAGCCACGATGTTAATTCCCGTATTCCACTTGATTCACCCTTATGGGCTAACTTTACACTATTACACTTAGCTGTCATTCTTTCTCGAGATGATACGTCCAGTATTATAGTGTGTCAAAGGCATGGAGGTGATTTGTCGATCCAAGATGCAAATGAAATGACGATACTTCACTTAGCTTTCCACTTGAAAAAGAAAAAAAGTGTCCAAGAAATTCTCTATGGATGTGCTAACATCCTTACTAATCCTATTGACAACCAAGGCCTGAGTCATTTACATATAGCTTGTGTACATACAAATAAGAAACTAGTTACTCATTTATTAAACAATGGGGCAGATCCCAATATCCCAATACAGAAAAATCTTCCACTGGTCTACGGCTTTTTCAACAAAAGAGTCTCTTTGGAAATTGGATCCACGCCTCTTCACATCGCAATTGCTGTTGAATCTGATAAGTTAGTTCAGTTACTTTTACAGCACGGTGCTGATCCTCACCTAACTGATATCAATGGAATGACTTGGATGCACCTGGCGTTCGTCAACTGGCGTTTTTACCAATTTAAACCATCACTCTGGCTCTCTCCAAAGATTTTTAAAGCCAACCCTGTCGCTCCAAATGGACTGTCTCACTTCCACATAGCTTGTCAGGATGGTAATTTAGCAGCAGTCGAAGCCCTCCTGCCACTCGTCACAAATATTAACGAACCCATCAGCAAAAAACCAAAAAAGTATGATACAGTTGAACTTGTATATGGAAGCTGTACTCCATTGCATTTAGCAGTTAAAGCTAAATCATTAAAAATAGTCGATTTGCTTTTAAAAAATGGGGCCGATGTAAGGGCAAAAGACGCCTTTGGTATGAACTCACTTCACAAAGCGTTACACTGCAATTCCGGGGAAGAGATAATTAAGCGTCTCGATTTGGAATTGGTGGACAAAGAACAGTGGCGTGACGACGACTCGGGACTGACACGTCTACATGTCGCTTGTTTCTTGAGGGATTTGTCAACCATTGAAACATTGCTGGTTGCTGGGGAGGACGTTAACAGTCGGATAAAGGAAGATTTTTCATTATGGCCGGCCGAAACTCCTTTAGGCATGTTATTTTACAACGATGGAATTCATTTGTGTGAGCAAGAAATTGTTGAATTGTTACTAAAATACATCCTTAGAGACATGGAAAATACAGTTTCAAACAGTGAACGCCTGCATGGTATGTTTTATTAAATTTAAATATTTTAAGTTGCCAACGTTTATTGTTGTGGTGATACAAAATATTAATTTCATTTGAATTTTATTTATAGATGAAACCAAACGCCAAAAACTGTTATCCTACAAATTCACTGCAGATTCAAGAGGGCGAACGCCCCTTCACGTCAGCTGCATGATAAATAATTTTGATATGGCTGAAAAATTCTTAAAATTGGGTATCGATCATACTGCTACCAATGATTACTTTTGCCCCGAAGATTATGTTAGTAGTTATGATGAGGGTTTCTCTGCACTACATTATGCGATACGGTTTGGAAAGAGTGATGGTCGTTTGGCCGAATTACTAATAAAATATGGAGCAAAAGTTAACAGTGAAGATCTGTTTGGTATTACCCCCATACAGTTAGCTGTCAGAGAAGATCCTGAAATTATGGAATTTATTTTCAAGTACGTACTATTTTTTTTAATTACTACTTTAAAATCAACTTTTAAGTAAAAATCAGACATTTTGTGGTGGCTTGAAAAAAAATTAGCATAGAAATTCATTGAAAACTATGGGTGCGTTCGATTTAGTGCCGAGCGCGCTCGTACCATATTGTACTTGTACTTGTATACCGTACCAGAGTCGTTTCGCAGTCCGCATTGTTATGAGCGCTCGGTGCTGAATCGAAAGGCAACCTATTCATTGGTATCTCATTAGAACAATTTTTTTTTTATGCCTATGAGTGTGTGACAACTTTATTTTGAGTAATTTGTGTTCAAATTGTATTTTCCTGTTTGTTAGCATAATTGAAGTGGACATTGAAACTGAAAACATATTTGGGAAAACAGTTATTGACTGTTTTATTCAATTTCGCAACCAAAGAAGCCATCAGATCCTAAATTTTTTTAGACGTTCATCAGGAATCAAAAACATTAGTGTCGCTGGTAAAATGCGCCTTGTCTCCAAACTGGTACATACGTTTTCTGGAGATTACTTAAAATCGCTATTAGAGTGTATTCCCAATCTATCTGATGTGAACGAACAAGGACGAAATGTTATTCATAATATCGTTTTACTTTCCTCTGATGAGATTAAGAACTTTACTGACTTCTGTAGTAATATTGAGTTGCTAGAAAAAATGGGTTGTGATATTGATCACCAGGACTATCAAGGTAATTGAGTTACATATTTCCATACGTTTTTAAAGCACTATCAATTTTACACGTATTGTAATCAAATTTTTATAAACAAAGTGAAGAAAAAAAATCAATTTAAAGAGTCGTTTTAACCTACAGTTTAATTGAATTATTATTCTTAACTAACTATTATTCGATTAAAATAAAAAAGATTAATTTTAGCCATCTAGTTTAACTTACATTTATAAAACTTTTCCTTTATAGTTTTGACTGGCATCGTTTAATTACTAAATCTTTTTTCTAAAAATTAAGAATTATTAAAATTGTTGATTAATTATTACTAAAGGTGCACACAGTTGGTGCACATACAAAATAAAATTTAAAAATACAAAGCGAATTGATTTTCATTTATTTTCGACAGGGAGAACACCTCTTCATTATGCAGTGATTTCAAGTAAGATTAACACAACGAAGGTTCTTCTATCAATTGGCTCTGACATTAACATTACAAATGTCGATGGAGAAACTCCGTTTTGTTGCACAATATACGACGATATACTGGACGAAATAAACGATCATGTGAGAAAACTCATGTACATGGGTATACATGTGTGTCGTGAAAATGAAGTCCGCGTTTACAACAGTCCGGACAGGAGGATGATTAATGAAAATGATATACACAGAATGCTTTTAACACATGTCACCAGTTCAGTTTGCATACTCGATGTTCTCTCGGAGAGAATGGGGAAGACATTTCCTGCAATGCCAGGACCTCAACGCTGTGTCATCCTCAAGTTAATGGAATCCAAAAAAATGTCCCAAACTTTTCCAGATTGGCTGTCAGTGATTAAATTTCAACGCAGAAAGTTCTTGAAGAACAAAAAAATATTCAATTTGGCCATAATTTCACTGCGACGTCTTTTGGATCCAAGATTACCCGAACACTGTGTCAAATCTATTATGATGTACTTGAATGATAAAGATTGGCGGAATTTAACTCTCATAAAAAATGAAAGTAATGTAGGAGATGCGTAAAAAAAGTGTTGATAGTAGAAAAGTAAAAAATACGTAAAGATAAAAACATTTTTAATTTTAACCATGTAAATACGTTTTTTTAATAACAATTTAATTTTCATATTTTTTAATTCACTATTGTTTTAATAATGTAGCATGTATATTTTTTAACTTTTTAACTGATTTACATTTTTAGAAACTCAATAAAATAATACTATTTAACCAGTTGGGCAACATTTTTCTTCCCCTTAATTTTACCACACGTTTTTAGTATTAAAATGTATTTTTTAAAAAATTGTGCTGACTCAGTAATTGGCGTGTTAGTTACTCATAAATTACTGGTAAATGCACTCGGATTATTTAAAAGTTTTTTATTGAGAAAGGTATCCTCAACACAACAGGATCAAGTAGTACAAGGTGCCTTACAGAGTGAGAAAGGATTAAAGTTGCTGGATATACTTTCTTTCAGATAACACACTATGTTGGAACTTGGTATTACCAATGATTATTGGTGAGCTGATGCCGAATGTGTCAATTAGAATGATCGCAGTCTTAGTAAAATAAATTTGATAGATAATTGCTTTTTAGTTAAGACAACGATTTTTCAATATTCATCACATGATAAATGTATTCATGGTAGCAAATGGTAAACGTTTATTTTTATGTAATCAGTTCGAACACTGCATTCATTGTGGAACGAAGGATTGCGGTACCGAACCGTACCGAACGATAATAGTCGCGAACGCGCTCAAAATCACGTGATATAGTTGTAATTTCTCGTATCCCCGTTGGGGCTATCAATAACAATATTATGAATATTCTGTTACTAAAAAATATACGTGTAATGACTATATGTGTAATTATATACTAATTGATGAAAAAATAAAGGGAAAAACCTCAATATTAAAGAAAACCTTTATTTTAAATTGTTTCAGGAACGTTTAAAACCACAGTTGAAAAAATTTTTTTTCAGCATCCACAAAATCCATTCGCATCGCAGACATTCGATTTTTCGGGGGGAAACGTGTAAGCCCAGGCCTAGACGACTCCATACTTAATTCAGCTACTTTGCGGTTCCTCGTGATGTATACTGCCTGTAGTGTCAGCCCTGTTACGCTCTCGGTTGTTTACCCGCACGGGATTTAGGCCGGCTTTGCTCACAAGTAGTGTTCTCTCCATAATCCCGTTAAAATGTTTGCCCAACAAACGGGAGAGCGCGCGCCTCAAAATACATGGTAGTGTATCATACTCCACGTACGTATACGTATGTTTGCTCAGCTTAGTCAAACATTGGCCATTGGCGGCTCGGTGCGCGCGCGTCTTTTCGTGTACGGGGATCCCCCGGAAAATGTACCCGTGACCGGCGGGATGGAAGGAAAGAAAAGTTTTTTTTTTTCTTTCTTTCGTAAGTATAAGTAAGTATATAGGGAGTAGGGTACATGCTGCGCCGGTAACAGCAGCTAAAGTGGCGCGCGAACCGGGCGATCTCTCTCCGGATTCGTGGTGATTTATGTATACGTACCTACCTACTTATTTCATAGTTTCATTGTGCTGTGCGCAGCTCTGGGACGGCCTGCTAGGTGATGATCTTCGCTTTTAAAGGACCCGAGATTGTGAAGTTTCGGAGAAAAAAAATTTGTTTCGAGAGGAGTATTTAAACAGCTACCAAATTTTGATTGATTAATAAAATAAATCGGGGTTTGATTGTGATTAAATTTCGGTCTGTGTATTAACTGGCATTATATGTATATTACATTATTGATAGTTTTTTTGGTATTTTTTAATTGTTAATTTTGTAGTATTTTTTTAATTGTTCAACTTTTTTTTCATTTCACGGCATCAATATAATTATTTCTCTTGAGTGATTGTATTAGTTAAGGATCTATAAATTTTTTTTTTTTTTTTCTTTTTGACGAATCTTTCTTACAATTTCAACGTTGTTGAAGAAAAAAAATGTATACTTTTTCTTGCTATATTTAATGTTTAGAAAGTTAGATAAAAGATAGGATGTTATACTTTTATCCCGAAAAAAGACTAGGTATACTCCCAATAAAACAGAAAAAAAATTTGATATTAACAAAAAGTTTGTGCATAAAAAACCAAACGATTAAGATGTATATGGTCCCAAAAAATTACCACCCGCTCGAATTGGTGCATGTGTATACAGTAAAAATACATTTTCGTAGCAATCGTGTAAAAAAAGTCAGCTTTGTGACAAGAATATCACAAGGGTATTACTTATAGATTAGATTAAATACACCCCGTAATATATGGCTTTGGCGAAAAAAAAGTCGTATTTCGTGAAAGAACCCCGTCCACCTAACTGTTTCGATTGTATGGCACGAAAAATCTGTCGACGGGCTTTCATTGGAGGTATTAATTTACTAAGGGATGGGTAAATAAAGAGGATTCCAAATCAAAGTGTACAAATGGCTTTGTGTTTGGTTTTGTCGGGGAAAAAAGTGATGGGGAAAGAGGAATAGGAAAAAAAGGGCAGAACGAGATATTGCCGCTTTTGACGTTTAAAGGCTTAGTAATTGCCAAATAATGCGTACTACTATACGAAACTTAGCGCTTTATTGTGTACATAAACGTCTTTTCACGTTGGTCGAACTCAAATGTATTCCCTTGACTTTGAATTCGTATTTTGGGATGCAGAAATCACATTTTTCACGGCTCGGGGACAAAAAGGCAATAATTTATTTGTTAATGTAATTTTTATATGGTTCTGCTACATGTTATATTATTTAAAATTTTCCCAATTATTCACTAAAATAGACAAACGCCTCGGCGCAGCAGTGATCTATAAGTTTTGAGCAAAATAATATAAACAAATTATATTTTATTTTGTAAGATGTAGGTACATTGTTTTTCCAATGTTACCTCGAGATAAACTTTAACTTCTACGACGTTTACAATACAGCCTTTAAATTATTCATTTTATTTATCAAAGTTATCTTTTGGCAAAGGGTTTATGAAATTTAATAAAAGTGATTTGGAAGTAAATTTCATAATTATTATGAAGCAAAATTAATGAGAAATCATAAAAAATGAATACTTCAACTTGTAGAATTAGATACTATGTTCCATGAAATTTCATGTTTTTCTATGAAATGTTATAACAATGTGACTTATTGTAAGAATCGAAATTATGAAATTTAAAATGCGAGTGGCTCTTGAATATATCACTCAAATTTAAGAATGCATGTAACCGTGTTAATAAAAAAAGGAATTATCATTATTTTTACAACACTTGTTTCAATGGACTTTTTTTGTGTTGTTCCCTAAAAACGATGAAAGAGGTAAAATGTAAGGCACGAGAAAACCCTACTCAATTAATCCTCCTCGACACCTCAAAGCTCCAAAAATGGACCATCAAACGCGTTTAATTTTACGGCGTAAGTATATAAAGCAAAAACTGGAAAAAACGAGCAGAAAACTCGGTGCCAACGTAATATATCCCGCGAGAATCAAGCAGTCAGTCCCACGTCGGACAAACAAAGCCCTCGCCTACGATTTTATCAATCAAACGTTAAACACCCCAGGTTGCGCCCTCCGCTCCGAAATCCCTGCATCTGCAACAACGACGACAGGTAATGCGTCATAATAAAATTCTCGGGCTCATTCCATCTGTCTCCCTCTTTTTTTTTTTTTTTTTTCTTCTTCCTCTCCGGTCCTTTGCGCGCAACTAATTCACACGCGTTGCATTACACGGCGTTCGTATATGCACTGGTGCATGCGCCGTCCAGCAAACAAATGACTGATGACGTCGCACTTTGACAGAGCTGCGTGTTTTTTTCACAAAAATGGGGCTGGAAGCGCGGGGTGGCCGCAAAGTGGGCGGACCGCTCTTGCGTGCTTTTTTTTTTTTTTTCTCCTACTTTTCCAGAAATAAGGCAAAAAGGGGACTTTGATGAGGAGTCAGGGGGATGCGTGCGTGCACCTTTTTTTTTGTGGTAAGTACAGTGGGACTCGATTTTTTTGCCGCCACCGGAGCGGGGTTTCATTGTCGCGCGTGCTTGTTATTAGCTTGCTAATGCGCCAGTCGGCTTATATTGCTCTGCTATGGGTGGTATGTCGCTGTAGTAGGGGGAACTCGGGTTTTTTTTTTTTTTTTTATGTGATCATCGATTTTCCATTCGATCGGATTTGACTGCGAGAGGAGCGGGCCATGTAACAAATCGCACGTGGTTATTTTTATTATGCTCTTATTGTTTTGGTTTCTATTTACCTAAAAAAAAAAAAATCTCGAGGTTCGGTACTGCGTTTATTCGTACTGTGGTACCACGACTAAAGCTCGGATAAAAAAAAAGATGACTTATTTGGAAAAATCGATGTAGTACAAAGACTTTTCATTTAGATCATCTTATATATGTATATATA